ATGGGTGGATGGATGGGTGGATGGGTGGATTCGATGGATGAATGGGTGGATGGATGGGTGGATGGGTGGATTCGATGGATGAATGGGTGGGTGGATGGGTGGATGGGTGGATGGATGGGTGGATGGGTGGATGGATGGTGACTGGATGGGTGGGTGAACAGGTAGATGAATGATGGATGATGGATGGATGGGTGGACAGATGAGTGAAGGAGAGAAACAGCTGTACTTGGTAGAAAGTTCTAGAACTCCTGGGAAGGAAGTCCTCTTGGGAAGCTGAAGTTGGAGTCAGGGGTCCTGGTTCAAACCCAGCTCTGTCATTTGCTACTTCTGTCATCTTGGGTAAGTTACTTCATCTTTGTGACCCCCTCTCATTTCTACAATAAGAATCAGTCCTATGTTATGTAAAGATGGCCCTGGACACAGGGCGAAGTGTCCCCATGGGGGTCCCAGCTCAGGATGTGGGTTTGGGGGCCCCTCTTTGCACACCCTCTGGAATCCAGGGCAGCACTGCCAGCCCGTGTCCATGCTACCTGCCCCCTAGGCCCAGGCTGGCCCTGGCCTTAGCACACACGGGCTCTCACTTTCAGGACCCTCGGAGTGACAGGGCGAGGGATGGCAAGGCAGCCACAGCCCCGAGAGCAGCTAGCTGCATACACCGCAAGAAAACAGGTTCAACAAGCGTTTATTGAGCCCCGCTAGTGCCTGCTGTGTGGCCTCCTGCGGTGCCAGCCGCTGTTCCCTCCTCCTGAAGCCCCCTCCCTGTCCCCACAGGGCCCTGCCCCTCTGGACACCTTCTCAGCTCCCTGGCTGGCTGGCAAGTGCCCAGTATTTGGTGGCCAGTGTCCAGCGACTTCCCCGATCCTCCAGCTGCGCCCAGCAGGGCTGTAGTGCGGTGTGGCAGGAGGTCCGGGCTGCGCCCCAAGTCCCTCCGTGCAGTCCTGTGCGTTCCCTCAGGCCCTCTGGGCCTCTCGTGCAGGGCGCTGAGATGCAGGCAGTGTGTCTCCTCGGCTGATAGTGGAGTCCCCCACACACAGGCCGGGCTCCGGGGCCCCAGCCCGGTGGTCTTGTGGGAAAGGCCGGTGCCAGAGTCAGCCGGAGCTCTGGGCGCTGGGCTGCGTCTCCGTCACACCCAGTGCCCCAGGACCCAGCACTGGCGGCTCAGCTCTGGCGCCTCCTGGGCTGAAGTCCGGGGCCAGGAATCCGCCATGTGCAGCTGGTGTCCTGCAAGAGACAAGGTGGCCAGTGCCGCGATCCTGTCCTCCACCCACACGAGGCCCCACAGCCCTGCCACCTCCTCCACACCCACTTACCGCCCCACTGCACCCCGAGCTCAGCAGCACAGAGGTGCCTGCCAGTGTGTGCGGCCATCCACGGGCAGACGCGGCAGTGTGCCCCGCCCTGGCATCCTGAACCCACTGCAGCCCCCTCCGCCTCTGCCCACTGTACCCCTCGACCCCTGCCACCTGCTGTGTGCTGCCTGATTCTTCGCAGATCAACCCCACGCCCCCCGTCAAGGGTCTGAGGGCTCCAACATACCAGACCGTTCCCACCACACCCGGACCTGCCTGGACTGACTGCGCCTGCGTGAGCCCTCCAGCTCAAGTTCACAGCCTGCAAAGCCCAACCCGACCCATCTTCCCGCACTGCTGGGGTCTCCCTCCTCCTACACCCCCTCCCAGGAGGGAGGCTCACTTTCCAGCTGCGCCCAGGACAGGGCCTTGGGTGGCTGCTCTGCGGGGGCAGCGGCGGTGGAGAGAGAAAGAGGGAAAGCCCAGGAAGGGGAGAGAGGCGCTGCGGAGGGAGGAGCGGGAAGCAGTGGCAGGGCCTTTGCACGGCATGCCTTCGCTCACTCTGAGGCCCCGCCACGCCTCCAAGATGGGGTCGACCCATGTGACAGGAGGGAGCCCCTGCCAGCCATAGGAAGTCTCAGTCTGAGGATTCACAGCTACTGTGGGGCCAGGTGGAATTAACCTCTTTCTGATTTCAGTCCTCAACCTTAAAAGAAATCTATTCTAAGTCACTTGTTTTTCCTACTCTGAGTGGTAATGGCTGTTCATACCATAGGGTCAGCCAGGGGCTCGGAGAAAGCCCGCTTAGGCGGGGGTTCCTGGTGAAGCCACGCTTCTGCTTGCATACCTGTAGGGACAGAGAGCTCATTGCTCCCCCCTCCCTCCCCCACCCCCGCAGCTTGACTGTCGGGAGCTTCTTCCTAGCAACAAAGGCTGCGAGGGAAGGGGAAGGGGAAGACGGCTGTGCCAATGGCAGAGCGAGCGTGTGTGTGTGTGTGTGTGTGTGTGTGTGTGTGTGTGTGTGTGTGTACTGCGACTCCTTTTTCCTTTGGCTTTGTGCTCATTTTTAATATTCTTTAATGTTTGTGTTTTGCACATTTTACTATATTTTTAAGGAGTGGGAAACATTTTGCAAACATTCTGGAATCATTTGGCCTTGGGGGAAAGAAAGCATTTGTTTTGGCCCCAGCTACTGAAATAGTTGCAATCTATGGAAGCGCTTGCTGCCAAGATAAAGGTGTTTGGGATTTTTTTAAAATTGAGAAGCAAATATTTGGTGCATAGAAAGGTTTGATTGTTTTTCCAAATGAGTATTTAGAAGTGATCGTAGCTGCTCTTATGGTCGTGAATAGGCAGAACTGTGAAGAGTTTATTGCAAAGGGAGAAAGTGATTTTTTTTTTTTTTTAAGGAAAAATAAAAGCCAGGATGTCTGTCCTTCCTTGAGTTAAGTCAGACTCTGTCCCCAGGAGCTGGAGGCCAGGTCAGTGAGGACTGGGGCTCTCCCTGCCCCCCTTGGCCTCTCATAAGGGGCTTGGGGCCCAGGGCTATTGTCCCCCGCCTGCCCACCAGGACCCACACTCCCTTCCTCACCCGTTCCCTTGACTTTGAGGCCAGCCACCAGCCAGAGGAAAGGCCTTGTGCTGTGGACTGGGGGATCTCAGCTCCAGGTCTCCTGGGCCCAAGCAAATCAAGCCGATGGGTGAAGGGACCAGAGACGGCCTCCTCTGCCCCAGGCAGTGTCACCCCAAGAAGCATGGGCTCAACTCTTCCAAAAAGTTCAGCAACACTAAACATCCAGATTTCAAAATAAAACTTCCTAACCTTTAAATAGTGACAAAGTTTTAAAAATATTCTCCACAGTCCGTGGGGCAGGTAGCGTTTCCCAGCTGAGACTCAGCCACGGGAGGCTGTTGAGTGACCTCTGGCTGCTTCCTAGCCCGTGTCTGTGTCCCCTGACCCTGCCCGCGACGTGGCGCATGTTGGTCCTCCTGCTGGGGTTTCCCTTCCCTGTGCCTCTCGGGCTGCTGACTTCCCTGGTCTTTCAAACGCTCCCTGCTCTGGGAAGATCACTTCTGCACCTGCTTTGTCCTGGAGCCTCAGCCTCCAGTGCCTGGCCCAGCCCCAAACAAGTCCTGAGCTGACTTTTTCTTGAACAAACGCAGAAGCGATGGAGGAGGAGGGTGGGGTGGCTCCAGTACTCACGTAAGAGCTCTGCCCACCGTTCCCAGGATAAAATTCTGTATGTGATAAAGCAGCAACGCCCAGCCTTTTGGGCACCAGTTTTATGGAAGGCAAGTTTTCTAGTGATGGAGGGAGGAGTGGGGCAGATGGTTTGGCTTCAGGGTGATTCGAAGGAGTAGCAGCTAGATCCCTGGCAGGTGCTGTCACAGTGGGGTTTGCGCTCCCGATGCCCCGCTGATCTGACAGCAGGAGGCACTGGGGCAGTGATGTGAGCCATGGGAAACAGCTGAAAACACAGATGCTCACCTGCCCGTTGCTCACCTCCTGAGCTGTGACCTGGTTCCTAACAGTGCAGATACAGGTCTGTGGCTTGGAGGTTAGGGACCCCTGTGATAAAATACTTCTCTGCTCAGCCCTTCCTCTTTGGGGTACAAAGTCAGGGGAGAAAAACTGTACTTGGGTCTGACAGTCAGAGCCTCAAATCCAGCTTCTATCAGGTTATGTGAATGTCCTTTTTTTGTTTTGTTTTGTTTTTCTCCGGTACCGGGAACCGAACTCATGACCTTGCGCTTGCCAGGCAGGCGCTTTGCTGCTGAGCTACATCCCCAGCCCCGTGAATGTCCTTTAAACTGTGTGGATTTTGACAACCAGGTCCACTGCCCTGAGTGGATGTGAAAGGAGTAGGAGGTCTCAGGAGGCTGCGCAGTCTCCCCCTACCACCCTCAGACACTGGGCGGACACGAAGACAACAGAACATCTACACAGCATGGAACTGGCTCCAACAGCCTCTCTTCCCAGATGTGGAAACTGAGGCTCACAGTTAGGAAAGCTTTGTCCAACAGGAACACATCAGGGACCAGGAGGGAGAGGTCATTTGTGCAGGGCCTCAGTGCTGGGATGTGAAGCCAGCCAACCTTGCTCCGAAGTCTGTGCTTGTGGGCGCCGTGACACCCTGCCTCACAGCCCAAGTCCCAGGGCAGGAAAGTGTGGGAGGGACGCCCCCTCTCCCGCCGGGAGATGGACCGGTGTTGTCATTCCTGACATTTGAACTGGACTCGGAGAGCACATGCTGAAGCTCCCAATTCCACGGGTAGGGTTGGTTCTGCCCAGGGAGGGAGGGGCAGGTCATTCCAGGCAGAAGGAACAGGGTGTGAAATAGATTCTTGGCAGGCCGATGAGGTTTTTAGGAGGTGTGAAAAATCCAACAATGTTGTGCTCGGAGAAAGGCGGCTAGAAAACACAGGTCTGGAGCGGGAGGGGCGAGAGGGCTGCAGCCGCAAACATCAAAGGACACAAGCTATGTGTGGTGACACAGGCCTATAATGCCAGCATTCAGGGAGGCTGAGGCAGAAGGGTCACACATTCAAGCCCAGTCTAGGCAAATTAGCAACTTAGCAAGACCCTGTCCTTAAAAAACAAAACAAAACAAACAAACAAACAAAAAACCAAAGCAACAAATTTTTTTAAAAATTAAAAAGGCTGGGGATGTAGCTCAGTGCGAAGGTTCTGAGTTCAGTCTCCAGTACTACAAAGAAACATTGCTGGGTGCCAGGTGTAGCAGCCCACTAGCGCCTCTCATGAGTACAAGATTTATCCTATACTTGGCTTATCTGAGACAGATTCCTCGCTTGCCCTAAATTGAGGAATGGGCTCTACAGGAAATCTGTATTTTTTTCTACAATTTTTTTTTTTTTGGTACTGGGAATCGAACTCATGACCTCAGGCTTGCCAGGCAAGTGCTTATGCCGCTAAACTATATCCCCGGCCCACAAATCTGCATTTTAACAACTAGCCCGTGTCTCTTAGCAACACACATGATTGAGGTACCACCGCCCTGGACAGAAAATGGGCACAAAGGAGAAAAACACCAGCTTAGCTTCAGCTCGGGGTGAGACAGACGTGTGACTCAGGATAGGTGACTCTGGGTCTCAGGACCCAGCATGTTCACCTGTCAAATGGAAATGTTACTCAGACCACCGACCTCACCAGGGCGAAGTGATCAGTCGTTCACCGGAAGCATGCGGGCGACCTACTATGTGCTAAGACATTGGGCCGGCCACAGTGAATGTGGCAGCAAGGTCTCTGTCCCCGCGACACTTCCATTCCTTTGAGGAGAGACCGGAACAAACAGGTCGGCAAGGAAGGGCTCAGAGGGTGATGAGCGAGTGAGGTGGGGGAGGCGGCCAAGGGAGGGGAGCCTCTGCTAGAAGCTTCCAATGGGCTGCTCCGTGCCGACACCCATCGGGGAGGTCAGTGGAGCCGGCAGGCGGGGAAAGATGTGATCAAGTGTATGTCTTAGGAGGATGGAGTGGAAGGGAATTGGCCCTAGAAGCAGCCATTTCTGTCTAGAAGTTGCTGAGTAGCCCGGGCAAGTGACAGGAAGCAGACTCGCTCCTGGCAGTGGCTTCAGGGGGACACATGTCGGCCTGGGGCTGAGTCCGACTCCCACCGGGTCTGTGGACAGTATCGTCAGCATCACGGGAAACTTGCAAGAAATGCAGACCGCCAGGCCCGCCTCAGACCTCCTGAACCATAACCTGCGGGTGGGGCTGGGCACGAGTCCTCCCTGAGATTCTGACCTCAGCACTGGCTTGGATCTCTTGACCCCCGGTGCCAGGGTCTCAGATGCCTCCCAGCCACGTGCCCATCTGTGCTCCCAGCAAACTGGCATCGGTATTTATTTCAGAAATACGGTCTGTTTCCATTTTAATAAAGGGAGCGACTGGAGCAGTACTCTATTGGATTTGATT